GTAAAAATCATGATTTAAGTTTAATACTACTTTATTATATCGTCAATTACTCCAATCTAACCTCAATTTTATATTCTAATTACATACTCATATTAACTACTTACATAATAACCATTTAGGGATCCCACGAGAACCCACAAGTAATCCAAATTTCTTCACAATTACAGGTTTAATCTTGAAATTGCAAACATATACGACTACATAATATCAAATAGAACAATAAGGAATCATATAGAAGACCAAAAGCACATAATGCAATCAATTGAAAAAACTCTTTCATACGATACAAGTATCAAAGAAGGGATTTGGGGTCAATTCCACTATCCTGAATACATTCCCACACCTTGAGCGAGATTTCTCACTCCTCCATTTACCTTGATAAGCAAAAGAAGATAGTCTTGCAACTTCAGGGTGGTTTCTTTCGTTCTACGATTCTTCGAGATCAAAAGTGTAGAAAGCATAAAAGAAAGTCTAATTAGAAACTTTATCTCTTAAAAACTTAACTCCTCTTTAACCATTTAGTTAAAATACCTGATCATATTTACAAATTTCCTTCTCTTCAATAAATCAATAAATAAACGAAACACTTAATTATAAAACCTGATAATATATTTATTCACACACACACACACATTTCTCCAAATAATTATTATAACAAAACATTATAAAAATACATATTTCTCTAATAAATATTATATAAAATAATTTTTGCAAATATCTATTACTTAAATAAAATATTTATAATTATTAAAAGTCTAAAAAATATTTCATAAAACCCTTTAATTAATCAAAATATCCTTTTAATAATTTTAGAAAATTTGGATAGTTATAGAAGTCATTTTCTCAAAAGTGAATATGTTAACTTTGAATACTCTTGACCACTATTTTAAAAATCGAATCGGACCGGCTGGTCAGACTGGTTGCACTAGGAATCGGTGGTCACATATCTAAACAATAAAAAATTATAATGAAAAATATATATTTTTCTCCAAATAATTATTATAACAAAACATTATAAAAATACATATTTCTCTACTAAATACTATACAAAATAATTTTTTGCAAATATTTATTATTTAATTAAAATATTTATAATTATTAAAAGTCTAAAAAATATTTCATAAAACCTTTTAATTAATCAAAATATCCTTTTAATAATTTTAGAAAATTTGGATAGTTATAGAAGTCATTTTCTCAAAATTAGTGAATATGTTAACTTTGAATACTCTTAACCACTATTTTAAAAATCGAATCGGACCGACTGGTCAGACTGGTTGTACTAGGAATTGGTGGTCACATATCTAAACAAAAAAAAATTATAATGAAAATTATATATTTTTCTCCAAATAATTATTATAACAAAACATTATAAAAATACATATTTCTCTAATAAATACTATACAAAATAATTTTTGCAAATATTTATTATTTAATTAAAATATTTATAATTATTAAAAGTCTAAAAAATATTTCATAAAACCCTTTAATTAATCAAAATATCCTTTTAATAATTTTAGAAAATTTGGATAGTTATAGAAGTCATTTTCTCAAAAGTTAATATGTTAACTTTGAATCCTCTTGATCACTATTTTAAAAATTGAATCGGACCGGCTGGTCAGATTGGTTGCACTAGAAATCGGTGGTCCAGCCGGTCCGAATCTTGAGTTGAATCAGTTATGCATTTGATCCATTTCAAATTGGTGTGAACCGGTCAATTTTTTGGTTTAACTAGTGAACTGGTTGGTCAAACTGGTTCAACCACAAATTTTTTTAAATTTTTTTTAAGGGACCACAAACCACAAAAATAACAATGAGAATTGAATCCTGTTAATGAAAGAGCAAAGAGTCTTATTAAATATAACAATGATTACTTGTTCTAATATATTTGTTTGTAATATATGCAACCTAAATAACTTTTATAGTATATTATTAATTTTAAATGATATATTTAATAATATAATATTTATGTATATTTAATAATATAATATCTATGTATATATTATATAATTATTTTGTGATATCAATTGTAAGTATATTATATATGTACATATTATTTATATTTTTAATTTGTATTAATATACAGTTTAACATGTAATTTTTTATGTATTTTTTTTTATATAAAATAAAAATAAAGATAATTTTAAATAAGATGGAAATTGAAATTTAAAATATAGTATAATTTTATTGAAATTTATAAATATAAAATATATTTAATATAAATATTTAAAAATAATAATAAAAATTAAGTCTTGTAATTCAATTCATGACTTACCGGTTCAATCTTTAACCCACCAACCCAATATCCTAACCAATTTAATGACCAATTCGATTTTTCAAACTATGCTCTCATTTCTATCTTAAGTACTGTTAATGATAAGCAAGATTCCATTCAGGTTTTAAAATTGAATCCACCGTAAAATTTAGGAATTTGAGTTGTATTTCATGTCATCCTAACCGGTTTTTCATTCATGTTATAAAAGGAACAACTTTTTCCTTCTAGCTTCTCTCCAATAATTTTCCCTTAAATATTTTTTCTTTGCAAAACTTCTCTCTAATAACTTTTCTAAATATTTTTATATATAAATATTATTATAAAATAACCTATTATTGAAAATAATTAAAAGTAAACATATATATAAAAAAAATACCAAATTTATCCAAATAAAAGTAAAAAATTAGATAAAAAATATTTTAATAATTACTATTCATTATTAAAAATTTTACAAAATCTAATCGTTAAAATAAAAAAAGGGTAAAATATTTTAACAATTACTAATCATTATTAAATTCCACAAAATCCAATAGTTATGCATTATTAAAAATTGAAAATTGTGTGTTTTAGATAAGAACAATTATAAAATGTGAAGGGTATAATTATATGTGAAGAAGTTTAAGAGAAAAATATTTTAAAACAAGATAAACAAATAGAAAGAGAAAAACACATGAGATCCAATGTGTGAAAACCAAAAGCAATTAATGGTATAAGTTTTGAAAGGTAAAATAATTCTAATAAGAATGGAAACTAAAAACAATTAACAAAGGAATTATTCATTTTATATAATGGTATAAAGATGTACAAGTAATCTAGTAATTTTAAAATGTACTACATTCCGTGTAAATAAAAAATGAGTTTGTTGTGTTCTTTTCTTATATTGCAATAAGAATAAGAAATTAATTATTATTTTTGTTATCATTAATTAGTTATTGTATTTTAGAATGGATTGAAGTGAGACTATATATACGCGGCACGATACTCCCTTTATTTGAGAAAATTTCGCCAGAAATTAAAATTTCTCAACTTCAGATCATGAGATATTGTTTAGATTATTCAAAGAAAGTAAGGGCAATATAATAAAGATGGAAAGAATATTTATATATGTAACTACTTTCTTCATTTGTTTACATTAAAATTTTGGAATGGGAACCAACTATAGTCTATATCTATATTTGTCAAGTTCTAATAGGTGAGACAAAATAATAATTAATCATCTGCATTTTTTTTAGAAACTAAAGGTGTTATTTATTTATTTATTAAAAATAACATTAATTGTTCATATCAAATAAGACCAGTGTAAGTAGCAAAGATCTCTTTCTAAGTTATTTAGCGTAGTTGTCCCTTGAATGTACAATTAACGTAATATTATACCTGGCAATCATTTGAAATAGATAAAGCTCCGAATCCAACACACTTCGATTTATTCACAGATATGGACATATATATTTTCGTGTCTGATCTGCATGATATTGAAGAAAATTAAAATATAAAAAAGAAAACCAATGCAAATAATTTTCCCGGAAGGAAGAAAGAACTATCCCGTGATTAATTAAGTGATAATATATTTTTGCCAATTTTAAAATTTGCAGAAAATTTTTTTACAAAATTTTTTGTAAAAAAAAATTTACAAGAAAGTTTTTTACAAAAACAAAATTTGCAAAAAAAATTTGCAAGAAAGTTTAATTTCTAAGAAAATTCGTAGGAAAGTTTCCTGTAAATTTTTTTGCAAGAAATTCTGCAGGAATATTTTTTATGAAAAAAATTAAAGAAATTACTATAAATTCTATCAATAATTCTTCAACTTTCAAATGCTCACAATGAATTCATTCGAAGTATTTGTTTCCATGTCTCCAACATGTGATACATAATCTTTTAAATTCTAAAATTGTAGATTATAAGCCTAACACTTAACAATACAAATTAACTTATAAGGTAAGTGTTATCTCAACTTATATACTCTTTAATTGTTTTATTTTTAATTGATGTGGGACTTCAAATTTTTTTAAAATATTAAACTTATAAATTTTATTTTTTTTTTATTTTTCCTGCAGATTAAAATTTGCAGGAAAATCTGCAGGAAAAGTTACCTATAAATTTTTTCTACCATTTAGTAAACATTATTTGCGAATTTATTTTTGCAAGAAAATTTGTAAAAAACAAAATAAAATTCTTACGATATTTTCTGCAAATTTTTGCCATGGAAAAAAAATTCTATGATCATTAAAATTGTAGCAAAATTTGAAAGAATTTCTTGCAAATTATTTTTCGTAAAAAATTTGTAAGAAATATCTGTAAATTATTTTTCACAAATAAATCCGTAAAAAAATTTTGCGAAATTATTATTGCAAGAAAATTTACAAAAAAATTATGTAAATATTTTTTTAAAAAAAATTTGTAAGAAAATGGCACTTTTCTAGTAATATTCATATATGAGCAATTAACACACTTTGAATAAAAAATATATTGCTCCAAATATTTGGGGTATTCATACCCTCCTTAGTCTTTACCGAAGAATTAGTGTACAATATGATATGAACAAATTTAGACTTGAGACCAGAATCGGATGCTAATATATATGTATGTCATATAGTCTTCTTTTTTTTTTTTTTTTTACTTAAATATTGCAAAATAAAATTTAAAAATCAATGTCTCTCATATTTTCATTTTCATTCAGGATTTCAAATTTACAAAAATAAGTATACATTCATTGTAACTAATCATAATCAAAAAAGAGAAATTAATTACACTTCTTAACAGTAATTACACTTCTTAACTGTACTTTGTACAACAACATATATGGAAGAATTAATTTAATTTACTAAGTAATACAATTTTATCTACACTTGCGAAATCAAGGTTAAATTTGCTCGCTCTTGCTTATGAGATCTAAGATTGCAATTGCTTTCCTCTGTGCTCTATTTGTTCCATTTTGTTTGATCTCCACTAGATGATCATACACTCCAAACTGAAGTGCTGCCAAAATAAACTTTGAGTTATTTGAGCACAACTCAAGAAGAACAGAAGCTGCACATTCCTTGTTCTTGGGACTCCCATCTCTCATGAACCCAACTAGGGTTTCAATGAAGGAGAGTTGTCCAATCTCTTGTCTTCCTTCTGAATTCAACACAAGTAGTAACAGAATGGAGAGTGCCTCATCAATCATTCCCAAGTTTGTGTCCGTGAGCAATTGAAGCAAGGGTGTCACAATGCCAGCCCTAATGGCCCTACCTTTATTTGCATGGTTGAGAGATAGGTTAAAAAGAGCTGTAGCAGCATCTTTCTTCCCTCTTACTGTTCCATTCCTCAACAACTTTACCAAAGGGGGTATCCCATTTGATTGTCCAATAATCTCTTTGATCTCATCAAGCATTGACAAGCTGAATAATGTAGCTGCTGAGTTTTCCTTAGCCACACAACTCCCATTCTCCAAAACTTCTATGATAGCTGGAATGGCACCTTCTTTGGATATAAGCCTCTTGTTACCCTCATCAATTGATAGATTCAAAAGTGCTGTCACAGCATGCTCCTGAATTTTTGAGTCTGGATAGGATAGTAGTTGCACTATGGCTGGAATTCCTCCAAGTTCAGCCACCAAAACCCTATTCTCAGGACTTTCCTTTGATATCATACGTATCTTCTCCACTGCCCTTCTTTGCTCTTCTAAATGAATAGAGGATAGGCTCCCAACCAAAGATGGAATTTCATCTTTGCTGTCTATGGTAGAGCTTTCTTGACTTGAAGAATTGTACTTTTTGGGAAGTTTGAAGTTGTTGTTCTCGCACCATTCTTCAATCAAGCTTTTCAATGCACAGTTTGGTGCCAATGATAGATGTTCCAAAGGTTTCCTAGTCTTTGGGCATGTGTTATGGTTGGCTTGGAACCATTTCTCTATGCTTTCCCTTTCATATGTCTTTGATAACCACAAGAAAAATAAATTCGTGAGTGTCATATATAGAGGAAAAAAAAAAAAAAGGCATCATATTTCTTCAAGCATGATCCCTTTTCAACTAAGTTCCAATTTGGTTAAGTTTACTTTAAAGAAATAACCACTTCCTTCTTTTTGTCAATTTGCTAAAAATGTTTTTGAAATAAGAACAAAAATCTTGAAACGTTAGAGTTCTTGAATTTGAGTTTGGTCTAACTCAACTGTGGTGAGGAATATTATCCAAGTCTTTATAAGCATACTTTGAACATATTATACTCCTTGTGTGATCTCAACAAGCATTAAAAAACATGCAATAAGATATAGGTAACTAAAGAAAATCCATTCAAGAACTGTATGATTACCTGTCCAGTTGTGACAATAACAGGATCTGTCATGATTTCTAGTGTTATAGGGCAGAGAAACTCATGAGGAATGATCAAAGAGGTGCTCCTCTCAAGAACCTTTGGCATGGCAGGATCATCAAGGACGTTGGTTTCTTCCATTCCAGCAATTTGTTTGAACCTGTTAAGAAGGCCAATTATTCGCTGAGTACTCTCGTTTTGTTGCCCTTTTCTTTCTTTAGCAAGGTTCCTAATAGCCATTGTTTCTACATTGAGATCCTCCACACTATGAAGCTCCAGCTTTTTAGCCAGCCTCTCAATGATAGCACTATCAGCATTTCTATCATCCTCATCAGAGAACACTACCATCATATCCATTGCTAGTTCTATATCTTGTGTATCAGTTCTTCTCCTGGCTCGCCTGAGTTGCACGTGCATTAGCTCAAGCTGAATCACACAGTACATTACCTCAAGATGTATGATTGAAGATATAGATATAAAGAGGAAAAAAATAGCGTGAACCGAATAATCTTCATGATTTTATCAATGGCACCAGAATTCATACTCCTCATATATACCACAAAGAAGAGCAAATTAATTATTACCCATGGGTAATTAAAGATCCCAGCAAGGGAATTTCTTTCCACATTTTTAAGTATTAACTTTGATACTAAAGCCAACCGAAAATCAGGGTTCAACGGACATGATTACATTTGTTCATAGTAAATAGACAACTACATCTACAAAAAGAAAATATAGTACTGATGCTGTGATGCGGGTTCATTGAGGACACTATTAAGCAACTAAGCATTTGTCTCGACGTGCATGCATTTTCACAGACATAAATGATTATAATTTGAGCTGAGAAAACAAAAAGGCAACAATATTGGGGCTTTCACTGTTCAACAAAATACGGCATCGTGTTTTCCTTCTATACTACATGTTACACAAAATGTATTACTTTTATTTAAACCATTCGCAGAAATAACTTCCACAAACATTTACAAACTAGCCATTTCATTCCTCCTAAAGAAAAGAAAAATCACGTTTCCTACACAAATATGAAGAAAACAAAGCCTACCTGTTCTTTGACTTCATCTGAGACACTCAATTCGTCACAAGGCACACAAGCAAACACTTGGCTTAATTTATCATAAATTTTCTGAAAGTTGATCATAACCGACTCGCACTCCAAAGCCTGAAGAAAAAATAAATAAAAAACAAAATACCCCATTAATTTGTCAAAACTCCCCCGGCAAAACCATCAGTTTTACATCTTCATATACACCCCCCACCAACCCATTTAGCCTTGAAAAACAAGGCATGCATAAACATTCTCAAAATCATGCCAAGTACTAACAACTTCCCGGCAAAAGGTCAAATAAAAACCCTTATGTCAAACATCCTTAAACTCCATAAAATAATAACCCAACAACATATTATATATCAATATTAAAAAATAACTCTCATGGATCAGAAAAGTGAAACAGAAGTTGGTTCAGAACACCGCTAGAAGCATCTAATAATTTCTTGGGACAACATATATAACAGATTGAAGTTTGAATCTGTATGAAGACATATTTAGGAGGATATAGCTAGGAAAGGAGAAAGTTAAAGCATATTTACGAGGTGAATCTTGCTTCCTTGGCTGCACAATTTGAGCAAGTCCTTGGCAGACAAAAGGGCGTCCTTGAGTTTGGCCAACCATGCAAGGCCGTGTTGGTGTAAGGGTTTGGGCAGGTCACGAAGCTCTTCCAAGAGAGGCAACATGAGCTTGAAGCGACGCACGAGGTTGTGGCTCTCCTTCTTCTGCGTCCTTCGGTACTCTCCGAACTGAACCACCGTTTCTATGACTCGCTGGATCTCCTCCACCGGGTCCACTTCCTCCTCTCCCTTCATCGCCATCTCCTCTCACTGCGCCATGCACGCACGTCGCTACGTACCTATTCTCACCACACCCACAAAGCTAGTAAATCAACACAAACATCTTTAATTTTATCTAACTAACTCTTTTCTTTTGGGCTTCATTCATCATGTCACCTTTTGTTTCATTCCGACATTCTTGTGCGGGCAAAATACGATTGAGCAAAGGTTCATGTCTACTTTTGGCGCTTGCCCCTATATTTCGGGATTAATCATTCGCTTCAATGTAATGGGATAATTAAAAGAATCAATAAATTTCACCGAGAATGTATTACATGGGGTTGGGGTTGTCTATACCTCATACTGAGATTCGTCTGTAGTTTTTTATGGGCGTTACTCTTCCTTGCCACTAAAACATAAAAATATCACCGAAAATATGGATAAATTCGTCACAAATTCATTAATATACAATTATATATGATATCCTTTTATGAATGTGACAAAACAAGTTAAATTTCTTTGATCCTATTATTTAGAATTTAAAATTAAAACTAACTTTTTAAAGATATTGAGTGATTGACTATAATCTTACAAAAATATGTTAAGTCATTGACTTTTTATAATTTTTGTTATTGAGTCTACAAAGGTATATTTTAGCAATTAATTTGTAGAGATTTTTATAATTTTAAGAATCCAATTACAGAAGTTTTAGAAGATCAAGATCTAATTACAATTTTTATTAATTTAGGAATTTAATTAAAAAAAAATTAAAAATTCATTCACCTACTTATATTTTAAAAATTATATTAAATACTAAAGAAGATTTTGAATATAAATCCTCTAAAGTATAAAATTATTAGTTCATATATTTTTTTCAATTTTATTTTGTTTGTTATTTTAGAAAAAAAAACAAATTTCTATTTTGATTATTATTTTGCAATATAATGAAAAATTAAATGTATTTTTTCTATTATATCCTTAACTATTTATTATAAAAGTGAAAAAATATAAATACAAATGAAAAAGCATCTATATATATTAAAAAATCACATAATACTCATAATATATGTCAAAAAACTTAATATCAAACAAAATGAAATAGAAAAAGTAACACTTCAACTATATAAACTATTGTACTTGATCTATCCATTTTATATACAATTGTATTGTTTTTATTTCATTTAAGTAAACAACTCTAAATTCCACTTCATTCATTTTATAATATAAGTTTATATTTAATAATTTTTTTTATATTCTCTCCTTCTTGTAAACATATATAATATATTCTTATTTTGTAAAATTTTATAACAAAACAATTTTTTATAATTAGTTATCTAATTATAAAAGATATTTAATTTTTTATTATTTTGATTAACATTTAAATTTTTTCAATCAATTTTAATTAATTGTAATAAAATATTTTAATTAATTTTTTTTTTTATAAATAGAATAAAGCATTGATACTTATATAAAAATATAAAGAAAAATTATGAAAAAAGAAGAGAGAGAAATATGGAATAAAAGAGTTTTTTATTTTTATTTTTGAGAATCAAATTAACCAAACATTCACGTATGTATTTAACCAACTAAACTAAAAACCTTTAGTAAAATATGAAATAAAATGTGAAATATGACAAGAAAAGATAAGGAGAAAAAAGGTAATTTTTTACCCATAATTTTCTCTCTCAAATGAAACTGAATATAGCATTTTACTGTAAAATTATATAAGTAACTTATTCAATAAATTGCTAAATCTAAATTATGAACCTTAACGATAAAAGTATAACATCCATTCTCGTTTTTTTAACTGAATATCGTTTTTTCTTGTAAATTCATTTTTATAAATTAAATGCAGATAGTTACTTTGTACGAGAATAATTTTAACTATTTTTTTTTTCAACGAGAGTCTTTTAGATTTTTTTTATCAATAAATATGTTTTTTGGATTTTTTTTTCATAACCTTATCACTAATAACATAACTTGTTACTTTACTAATAAAAATATATCTTTAATTTAATTAAATGTTATTATTAAATAAATTATAAATAATAACCCTCTCGATAAAATTTAGAATAATTCTCCTAAACAACAAAACTTTCAAGTATTATTTTTCAAGGGTATCTTTAACTATTTTTTTTCTACAAAGATAATCATTTTAGAAAATTTTCTTAACCTTTTAATCTCTTGAAATTTATCGTTCGCAATTTTATTTATAAATCAACTTTGAATACTTTTAAAAAAAATTGATTGTTAAAAATAATTTTGTATGACAATATAAGTTATTTATCATAAAATTAAGATATAATTTATATACTCAAAAATATTTTTTTAACATAAATTTAAATAGAAAATAATTTTATATGCAAAACATATTTATTTTTTATAATTTTTTGTTATTTAAAATAAAATTAATCTTTTGTATTGCATAAATAAAATAAAATAAAAATATTATTATTTTGTTAAAAATTCACCGTAATAATTAAAATAAAACTAATGTATAATTTAATAATTTATTGGATACAAAATCGAGTAAAAAAAGTTGCAAAATGTGGTCACCCATCCGTTAAAATACTGATTATATAAACAATCTGATACGTAAATTATAAAATATAAATTAAGAAACCTCAAAGATAATATATATATATATATATATATATATATATATATATAT